GAGTGCTATATTACTACTACTCTGAGATTTTAACCTGCTTCAGTTCAAGCAGTGGCAAAGATGGAAGTCAAGGCATAAAGCATTCACTTATTTTTGCTTAGTCCACACTGAATAAACACACTGAAATTCACAGTCTGCTAGAATAAATCTAGCAGAAAACATGATGAGAAACAAAAGAAAGTTGGCAGAAAAGTGGGTTTTGTTAGTGGTAGCATCAGTATCTGTCCTTTCCTATTCTGAGTGGAAAGTGCCTATTCAAGAGAACATCAAGCCTTGCAGTCTCCCAGGCTGCAGTTTAAATAGGCAAAACATACTATTTTTTAAGGCAGTTTTTCATTAATGTTTGCTAACACTGAAAGCAAAAATTTGAAACAAAAAATGAACAGCAAAAGAAAAAATCTAGAAAGCACAGCCATTTCTCTTCATAAGAATCTATTTTAGGTCCTGTTATGTTTTTCCACCAACATGGAAAACTAATGGAAAATTAGGTTTTTGTCTTAGACAACCTTTACACATTATACAAAAAACCCCACACAAATTCATTTTTGTCCAAAGCACACACTGCTGATTACATCTCTGTTGCAATTCTTTTTTCTACAACTGTTATTTAATCCACTGTATGCCTAAATGAAGGAGATCATATCAGTTTAGAGTAAAACACAGACACGGCTGAGGAGTATACCTTTGAGCCTGCTGGAAGCCTTCATGTATCTCGCAAAACTTGGCTGTCAACCCATTAGCTCAGCAAGACTGGGCTTTCTCTGAGAAGCAAAGCACTACCAGGATATGAAGCAGAGGAGCTGGGACACATGCATGCTCCCACGCATCCACCCAGCTTAGATCAACTGGAGCGCCACCAGCCATAACAGCAGCCCCATGCCGGCACAAGGAGCTGAGCCTTGGCGAGCCCTGACGAGCCTTGACGAGCCCTGCCGAGTCTTGCCGAGCGTAGCCGAGCCTTGCCGAGCGTAGCCGAGCCCTGCCGAGCCCTGCCGAGCCCTGCCGAGCCCTGCCGAGCGACACTGGTTCCGGCGGCCACTACTGACGCACCACGGACGCGACGCAGGCACCCACCCATGGGCTAGGACGGCAGTAATTCCTGCCCCCAGGCCCTCCCGCCGGCCCTGGGGTGTATTTAATTCACTTCAGAAGGCGCAGATTAGGCAGCTCGGGTAGTAGCGTCTCTGTTTGAAGCCTGGGCGTCTCGTACTGTTGTTGTCCTGGCATCGCTGACGACCAGGAGTTACTCCCATGGAGCTGCGGCGCGGTTCGCAGTTGCTGCTGCATTTCTCTTACATACCACACGGGGGAAGTATACTCTTACGTCCTCGTGCTCCGTCTTGACAAACCTTTACGAAAGAGTAGCGGAATGTAGTAGTGCGCGGGATCAAAACAGCCTTCTCCAAAAGAACATATCAGCAGGATTGAAACCGTGTCCGTTTTTTCAGTCTAAACATATCTACTGATCTTAGTGTGGCAAAGAGCTTTAAATGCACCTTATAATGGAGAGGCAAGGCCCAAGCTGAGCTCTAGTGAGGTTTCCATGAAGGATTTAAGAGATTGCCTTTATCCTTACAGGAAATGCCAGTTTGACTGCCAGGGCATCTGCAGAGGAATGGTTGTTTCCTCCAAGCGCTGTTTTCTGTGAAGACCTGAGGAAGGTGTTAAACAAGTAGTGGAAGTGTAAACTCAAGTGGGATCTGACAACCTAGGGGCCAGTAGGCAGGGGTAGCTCTGGGGTGAGTGCTGCTGCCTGGGCTTCAGTGAGGGCTGCAGGCATTTTGCCAGCTGGAAAGGATGGTGCTTGGGGGGAAGGACCTCACGGACATAGCTTTTCTTCCCCCCCAGAGGGATAGGCTGGAGGAGATTAACACCTGTGTACCAAATGCTCTACTGTGGTTTGTTGCTTACTAACAGCAACCCGGCACCTCATTGTCTTTAAGTGTGGAAGGTTCACTAGCACGGGTACCAGCACCTAGCTGTAATAGGCATGGATATTATCCCTTGTGGAAGAGCCAAAAGCTCAGCTCTCAACCAAACACCTACCAGCAAATTTCAGCAAAAATATATTTACAAGCAAGAAACCCCATGAACCCATGTTTTCCTACCACAGACTGTCCCCATTGGCATCAGAAAAGCTCGAGCCCTGGTGACCACTCTGGTTTTCCCTCAGAGACTGTCAAAACAGAGCTATTGCATTTCAGCTTGGCTGATTTCAAAGTCACGTTTGGAAGACAAGGTGTCAAACCAAAGCTATGTTCAAAACCTTAGCTCTTCTCAGACATGATACCAGGCATGTTTTAGAAGGTCCTGAAACACAACAGACATGGATGCAGATGGAACTCTGTGACCTACTGCATCACACAGACACACACAAGTCTATGGGACCAATGGGATACACCCAAGAGTGCTGAAGGAGCTGGCTGGGGTGCTCGCCAATCTGCTTTCCATCATTTACCAGCAGTCCTGGCTGACAAGAGAGGTCCCAACTGATTGGAAATTGGCCAGTGTGACGCCCAGATATAAGAAGGGTCGGAAGGATGATCTGGGAAATGACAGGCCTGTCAGCTTGACTTCGGTGCCCGGGAAGCTGATGGAGCAGCTCATCCTGAGTACCATCACACAGCACATGTGGGACAACCAGATGCTCAGGCCCAGTCATCATGGGTTTATGAAAGGCAGGTCCTGCCTGACAAACCTGATCTTCTTCTATGACAGAGCGACCTGCTTATTGGATGAGGGAAAGGCTGTGGATGTTGTCTACCTTGACTTTAGTGAGGCCTTTGACACCATTTCCCACAGCATTCTCCTGACAAAACTGGCTGCTCATGGCTTGGATGGGCACAGGCTTTACTGGGTAAAAAACTGGATGGATGGCCAGGCCCAGAGAGTTGTGGTGAACAGAGTTAAATCCAGTTGGTGGCCAGTCATGAGTGGTGTCCCCCAGGGCTCGGTGTTGGGGACACTCCAGTTTAACATCTTTATTGATGATCTAGACGAGGGGATTGAGTGCACCCTCAGTGAGTTTGCAGATGACACCCAGTTGGGTGGGAGTGTTGATCTGCTCAAGGGTAGGGAGGTTCTGCAGAGAGACCTGGACAGGCTGGAGCCATGGGCTGAGGCCAACTGGAGGAGTTTCAATAAGGCCAAATGCCGGGGGCTGCCCTTGGGCCACAACAACCCCCAGCAGCGCTACAGGCTTGGGGAGGAGTGGCTGGAGAGCTGCCAGTCAGAGAGGGACCTGGGGGTGCTGATTGACAGTCGGCTGAACAAGAGCCAGCAGTGTGCCCAGGTGGCCAAGAAGGCCAATGGCATCCTGGCTTGTGTTAGCACTAGTGTGGCCAGCAGGGACAGGGAAGGGATCTTACCCCTGTACTCAGCACTGGTGAGGCTGCACCTCGATTCCTGTGTTCAGTTTTGGGCCCCTCACTACAAAAAGGACATTGAGTTACTCAAATATGTCCAGAGAAGGGCTGCAAAACGTGTCAAGGGTCTGGAAAACATGTCCTATTAGGAGCAGCTGAGGGAACTGTGGGTGTTTAGTCTGGAGAAGAGGAGGCTGAGGGGAGACCTTCTCACCCTCTACAATTACCTGAAAAGAGGGTGCAGAGAGCTGGGTTTGAGCCTCTTTAGGCTAGTAGAAAGCGACAGGACAAGAGGGAATGGCTTCAAGTTGTGCCAGGGAAAGTTCAGACTAGATATTAGGAAGCATTTCTTTACAGAATGGGTTGGCATTGGAATGGGCTGCCCAGGGAGGTGGTGGAGTCCCCATCCCTGGAGATGTTCAAAAGTAGGGTCGATTTAGAGCTTAAGGATATGCTGTAGGTGGGAACTGTGCTAGGCGAACGGTTGGACTAGATGATCCCCATGGTCCTTTCCAACCTAGATGATTCTGTGTGATTATGTACCATTTAAAGAAGTGTCTGTCAGAGCTCAGGGAAAGACTCTTCGCCAGGAGTCTGACAAGATCGTGGTCTCCAAAGCATTTCCAGGAAGGTCCTTCTCATAGACTGGAGAGTGGCTAAAGAGACTGTCTTCCTTGTTTTCTACAACTTCCCCCAAGGCATGGGGAAGTGCTACACCTAGCACAAAAACCACATCAGACCAGAAGTTGGGAGATGGAAGATAAGACAAAACCCCTGCCAGAGGAGAGACAGAGAACTGGAGGCATCTCTGCATCATTCCCAGGTTTCTCTTCCCATGTCTAAGAAAGCAGCTAACAAGATTTTTCAAGGTACTTCTGAAGAACTACAGTTCCCAGCAGAAAATCTTTCTGCTCTCCACAGCTGCCCTGGTGCCTCTTGCCAGAGAAAGAAAATGCAGCAGAAAGTGTTACCTGATTCCTGTGAAGGAGTCTGGTACGCCTCTGTTCCCAAAACATCTACTGGGATGCTGCAGGGAGAGCAGCTGAGGCCAAATGTTTGGCTTTTTCCCAACCAGGGTAGCCAGCTGGACCAACATGTTCCTGGATGGACAGATATCTGGATATTTTTTGTAATAACTAAGCACTAATAATGGTGAGGTGTTCTGGAGCTTAAGATAGCCTTGTTTCTTGGGCAACTCTTTGGGCAGGTGGACTCAGCTGAATGGTCTTGAGTTTCATGTCACATCTAATCCAGTCTAACCAGGACTCCTGCTAATCCAGTCTAAACAGGTCCTGCTCTTCTTCCCTGCCACTGCTTGACTGCTCCTGCTGTTTCCCAACAGCCAGATCTGACAGCAAGGCAGCTGAATGAAGTATAATCCAGCTGATTGACTGGATGGGAAGGAACTCCTTTTATGGGTTTTTTTTTTGTGGATTAGCAAACTGCAGAGACACAGCACCGTGTGGCTGTGCTGCCTGGTAGTCCACAACAGAGAAAGCACATGTGCAGGGTTGGGGGGGAGAGAGACCA